ATCCATATGGTACCATTTCATTATTTACATTTTTTATGTTAATGCTATACATATTACTTCCATTTTAAATTTATTATTAAAAATAAATTATTATAAACATTATATTATATTACAATCAAAATTGTTTACAATGTTCCGAAGTCGAATTATCGACTTCGGTGTTATCGTTTTGGTCGAATCGTAACATTATTATTAATATTACGCGCATAACTTTTATTTTTATTAAAATATGATTTCTATTTTAATCTATTAAATTATAATGAATGATGTAATTTACATCACAAATACAAAAGGCAAGGAAGATGTATTGTTTGAAATTTGTTTTTCTATTCAGAAGAAATAAAGTAATAGAATAGTGTAAACTAAATTAATTTCTGTTTCAAATTGAGGGAAGGTATATAACATTTAGAAGTCCTAGTGGCCAATAGGACTTCTAGGGATAACTTTTATCGATAAGATAGACATGTCATCTATTCCGGATGGAATAGCTTTTATTTTGCTTTAAATACATTACGTGCATGTATTAATCGTAATACATGAAGGTAAAAAAAAAGAATTTCTTTTTACATGTTAAGTTTTTTTTCTTTCATTAAAGCTATGTTATTGTGTAGTAGTAGATTATATCACAGCCTGGCAGGTAGCTTCGTGACCCGGCCCAGGGGAATTCCTTGAGTCTGATATGGCAAAAGCAGTGTAGTACTCGAGAAGACTGTTATGTTCATAAGTTCCTGTCGTCGTTATTCTACTTCCATTGTCCTACCAGTTCGCTCTGTGTGTACCCATTTCAGGCTCACGAGGGGTGTGCATGGTCGTGCGCGGTAATGAGTCGAGAAAAGCCGAAAAATGAACTGAGTAGCAATTAGAATCAAATTTATTGAGCAAGTAGAAAAAAAAATTACAGCTTCATTTGTACATTCTGAAGACGCTGTCTATACAACTGGAGGTGCGAATGATTCGAAGATAGTGAGTGTCGTGCAATTTCAACAGCACGTTCATAAAATTGATTTGCCTTCGAGTATTCTCTCATATTTTTATACACAAGGCCGATATCATGGTTTGAAATAGCCAACTAACGATGATTCGAAGGCAGAGCTTTTTCTCTTATTTTATGTGCTTTTTCGTAAAATTCAAGTGCTTTCGAGCGATCACCCATGCTGCTATGCATTTTACCAATGTTGTTGTAGGAAGTAGCCAAATCAGGATGATTGTGAGGCAGTGCTTTTTCAAAGATTTTATGAGCTTTTTCGTCAAACTTAAATGTTTTCGAGTAGTCACCCATGTTGTTATACACTTGACCGATGTTGTTGTAGCAAATAGCCATACTGGGATCATGCACAGATAGAGTGTTTTCCTTTATTTTAATTGTTTTGTAAAATTTCAATGCCTTCGAGTATATACCCATGTTCTTATACGCAAGACCGATATTATGGTAGATCATAGCAAATGCAGGGTGATCTTCTGGAAGAATTTTTCGATAGATTTTTCGTAAAACGTAATTTCGTTCTCATATTGGCCCTGTTGCCATTTTACTCTTCCTAGCTGATGATAGATATGCGCTCTATCACTATCGTCGGATGTCTGTTCTAGTAGTGCGGTATATAATTCTTCAGCCTTGTTGAATTGACCTATTTTCAGCAGTAATTGACCTAGTCGACACCATCCCGTGCCGTCGACCTCTTCTCGTATATGATCAGTTAATTGACGAAGGTGTTGGTCATCATCTGACGTAAGTTTAAGATCCACTTCATAAAGTGAACTTTTCTTGTCAATTTTTCGAATGTCATCAATTCGAAAAACTGTGTGGATCGAGAAGAGAATTTCCTCTTCATCTTTGTAATAACTCACCTCCCCAATGGAGGCAAAAGGAGTTGATGAGATCATGGGATCAACGTGCACTCGAAAGACGATACCGACTATATCAGTTGTTCCTAACGCTTCTTTGGCAAATTCGAGGGAGATATCTGGATTTTTACTGGTAGATAAAAAATTATTAAAAGATATGCGACCACCTTTGTTTTTTGCAAGTTTCTCGAAGTCGCGGGTCGATAATCCCTGGTCTCGATAAACTGAAAAGGACTTCCAACGATACTGACTGACCTATTTGCTGTGTAAATGTTCAATTTGTCGATGAACGTCACACAGGAAAAATTCCATTTTGATGATAATGTCGCTATCCAATATTCGTAAGGTTCGGTTGAGCATTTTGAACGCGAAACATTGGCGTGTATACCACCACATCGCTAGTGTTGAATGATAAGTTCGTTGAAATTCATTGATTAATTTGAGTTCTTTGGTATCGCCCTTGTATTGTTCTTGGCAATATGTAACCAAGTCTTTGATGGCTTTTTGGCCATGTTCCATGTCTAGGAGTATTTCTTTAAATATTTGGGTATACACGAAAGAACGTTCTAGCTGATTGAGACTTTCGATAGAACGTCCTTCATTCACACTAATAATACTGACTGTTATTTGATCTTGATTGCATTGTTTAACAGCCGTTTACAATGCTTCACATATTGACTTGATTGATGTATGGACACCTTTGATTTTGGTCCATAGTTCGTGGCATTGTTTGTTGCTACAAAAGATATATATATGGCATCCAGTTTTGGCATGTCATGAATTTCTGGTACCAGGTATTGCCCAAGTACACCCGAGGAGATGACGAATGATGCTTCGTCATTGTTTTCCTGGAGTTTCTCAATACATTGCTCGGCTGTGGTGCATAGGTTGACTTCATTTACTACACCGCGCAATTGCGCGAGTGTATGTTGGCAATCATCGTTTGCCATGTGGATATTGCCATCGACCCAGATGACCAAATAATTTTCAGCCATTCGTCGTCTTCGTTGTCCACTCATTTTTATGTCATTTTTCGCGTTTGATCGATAATTAAGTATTGTGAGTAATAGATCGTTGTTTGGACAAAGCTCCTCTTTTCTATTTATACATTTGATACTTCGCTGTTTTTTCTAGATTTTTCTACGACATCAAATGTGGATGTATTTTCTTCGTTGACACTTAAGCACAAATTCCATCTAGTTTCAATTGAAAATATGGTTGTCAACAACAAATGGAAGAGAAAAAAATCAACAGCATCTTTTATTTTTATGGTTATTTTTTTCAACTTTCGTTTGCTTTTCATTTACACAATCACGCTTATGTCAATGCGTTGGATACCTTGCCTCGGTTTTTCTCTTTTTCCTTTTGGCAAGAACGAAAAAAAATAACAAAAACATCTCTAGTTCTGATTTTTTTTATTATGATTATAATGGACATTGTGGTAATGTGAACGAAACAAGAAGAAAAATAAATTTTATTTTCATTCAAGCAACAAGCGAGCAAAATTTTTTTTACCTTGTGAGGTAATGTACATATCATTATCTATTGATTCAAGTAATAATAACTCTTTTCATCGTACTTAATTCTATAAAGACATGTATCCTATCTCATAGTTACTGAAATAATTACGAGTTCTCTAATTCGAATTTGAAAATCATGAAAGATTGAAGCATCTATTAGGGTGTGGGTGTATCTGCTTTACTCACCCATCTCCACACCCACACCCACCCACCCACACCCACTGTAAGATACTGCACCAAAAATAAAAGAGAAGATATAAAGGTCAGTGAGTTCGTTTCACGTGCAATATCTGACCGAATGTTTTATTCTAATAATGAAGAGAGAGAGAAAACAGCAACAAAAAAAAGAAAAAGGAGGACGTGTTATATAATGAGTGGACAAACAGTAACAACAACAAAATAATAATAGAGGTCAGGTCCTAACACCCACCCTCACCCACACCCACACCCACCCTCACCCACACCCCACCCACACCCACCCTCACCCACACACCACCCTCACCCACACACCACCCACACTCACACCCTTGAATATTTGTTATAGTCATTCTTGTCGTAGTTGTTGACCGTTTCCATTTTTTTCTCGTACTCTTTATAAAGTTTTTCTTTTTTATCTTCTCGTCTAAATAAATAATAAATAGTCATTTTTCAGGCGGTCTATTAAAATATCAAACATTAGTAAATTTTACTTACAATAAACCATTTAAATCGAAATATAAGTCTTTCCGAATGATTAAATGTTCGCTGTACGAAAGTTTTTTCTAAAATAAATACATCATGATGATGCTCTTAATAGACAATCAATCTTACCTCAAAGAATACCACGAAATCAGATGATGTTTCTTTGATTTCGACGTTCACCTCGCTGTCCTTTCTATAATAATCGAATATGAAATTTCCTGATGATTTTTGCGGTTCAAATTTGACGATCATATTCGTAGGTTGCTTTAAAAATAAAAAATATTTTATATTTAATAATGAATATTTCTTACTTTATTATCATCATGTAAAAAGAAGCCATCAGTAATCATAACAGCATGATTGAAAATGACTATCTTATTGATACGATTTGCATCATATTTGCTCTTGTAATAATTGCACAGAGCTGAAAATTTTTGTGCGAACGACATCTGCAAAAAAATCAAAGGTAATGTCTATTGATATTAACCTCTTCTTCAATAACAAAAGAAAGAAAGAAAAAAAACATTCCTTCTCTAGAAATTTAAAGAAGAAAACTTTATAAAAGTCTTTTTTTTTCTACTTTTAATAATAATCCATCTTCTTCATATTTTTAGTTACCGACATCGATGCTTGTTCATTAATTATAACTGCTTTATCATGAAATTGTTGATGAACAAGTTGAACTTTAAAAAAAAAACTATGTAATACATCTTCAATTGTTATACATTTATATGGATCCATTAATAATAATCGATCAAGGAAATCAAATACAGCTTCATCAATATCTGCTACAACTAAATCCAATGATAAAAATGATTTTCGATGAAAATTTGTACATTGTGATAAAATTCGACGAAGAATATTTCATGATTTATTTGACATTGTTGGATATGCTACTTTATGTTCATGTGGAAGACAGTCTAATGAACGACAATGACGTTCAATAACAAGACGTAATTAATCCAAATAATGACGACCAGGAAATAATGGTTGACCAAATATAAGTTCACCAAGTATACAATCTACTGACCACATATCCATTGCTGATGTATAAGTTCCATTACAAAGCATTAATTCAGATGCACGATACCATCGTATACAAACTAAAATAATTTTTTATTGAAAAATTTTATTTATTAAATTAATAAAAAATTGCTATAACCATTCATTGATGTTTTTTGCTTCTTCTTTTTGATACACGAATAAAACAAAAATCTTCCATACATACATGATCATCAAGATCAACAAATATATTACTTGGTTTTAAATATTGATATACTATAAACAAAAAAAAAACACTGGATTGGAATTTTTAAATAGCAAATAATATCCTTACAAACTTTAGCTAAATGAATAAATTTGAATGCTCGTAAGAATTGATTAAAAAAATGTGGAATATGACTATCTGTGATAATACGTTTATCCGTTGATCGTTGATGATTCATTTTAATAAATTGATCAAAGATCTAAATGCATTAAATTAGTTACAAGATCTATTTCACGTATTTGTTTAATTGATGTAGCAAGTCTATTATAATACAGTACTTGAACTATATTAGCAGATCCGACTGATGTTAAAGCACATATTTAACATAATGAATGATAATAAAATAATTTTGCCTTAACAACATTTATTGAAGGTAATATACTTTTGTTTTATTGCTACTTTACGTTGAAATAAATAACCATATGCTAATATAACTTGACCATAAGCACCAGAACCAATCATTTTAGGTAACGAATAATGAGAACGAAAATATAACAATACATGTTCATCAATAATTATATTTGTATTCAATCAAGATTATGTAGAACTATATCGTCAACGAGAACCATCGAGACTAAGATCGTTGCAAATTATAGAATATATAGAAAAGAAAAAATTTTTGTTTGCTTTTTTAAATACAAAACAATAAAAAAAAATATCTATATGGCTTATGATTCGTGTCACGAGGCAACTTCGATCGACAGTGATTGCACACATACGATAGAATTCTATTTATACATAATGATAATAATGATATCGTATAGAATCGATAGAGAGATAGAAAACAACTTTTATTGTGTTTCGATACTAACACGTGATTATACAATAGTGTTGTATGCCTTGATCCAAGGTCATATGCATTCATCATAAAATCGACCCATTTTACCATAGAGAAATAACGAAATATATAAAAACGAAAAATAAGATAAACAATCGAAATAAATGATAAATAAAAAAGAAAAGTATAACCTCTTTTTGAATAATAAAAAAAAAACAAGAACATTCGTTCTCTAGAATTTTTTAGAAGAAAATTTAATCTTTCTCTATTCTGTTTTAATAATAATCTATCTTCTCTGTATTTACATTTGCCACCATTGATGCTTGTTCAGTAGGTATAAATGCTTTATCATTTTACTATTGATGAACAAGTTGAACTATTTTGAAAAGAAAGCATTTGGCGAATGTTAGATAATTGATATGAACGAACTAAGAGGAAGTTGAAAGGTTTCTTCTGATGACAGTTCATCACTTGCATCTTTTCGATAATTATTAAATAAAGAACTATGTAATGAATCTTCCTCTGTTAGATATTTATGTGGAACCATCAACAACAATCGATCAAGTAAATCAAATGTCGCTTTATCAATATTTGTAACAATTTAATCCAATGACAAAAAATAATTTTGAATGAAAATTTGAAGATTGTGTTAAACTTGAAAGAAAAAGATTTTAAGACTTTTTAGATATTGTTGGATAAACTATTTTATGTCGATATACAATAAAATCTAATGAACCATAACGACGTTCAATAATAACATATAATTGATCGAAATAATATGACATCCAAGAAATAATCGTTTATCAAAAAACAAGTTCACCAAGAATACAATTAGCTAACCACATAATTTATTTATTGCTGATGAATAACTTCCATCACAAAGTGCACGATACCATCATGTACGTACTAAAAATAATTTAAATTCAAATTTTATTTGTTAATATAATAAAAAATTATCATAACCAGTCGTTGATGTATTAGTTTCTTGTTCAGATACACGAGCAAGACAAAAATCTCCAATACATATATTATTATCAAGATCAACAAAAATATTACTTGGTTTAGAATCTCGATTTACTAAAAAAATAAAAGACTATATTTAAATATTTTAAAATCAGCATAATATGCCAGTGATGGGTCTAGGATTTTAGAAAGGGGTGGAGAGGATATAGACAAAAATCACATTTTAGTGCTCATTCATGATAGTATAAATTCATCTTTCGTTCACTTTTGCTTGGAAAAATCAAAAAAAATTCTCAAAGGGGAGGAGTTGAACATCCGTTCGAAATTCCCCTCCCTCTCCCCTGCCGTAAATTCGTCACTGTAATATATATATACAAACTTTAGGTGAATGGATAAATTTTAATGCTCATAATAAAAATCAAGTCATAAGTGTACCATGAAAAAAAATTTCTCGACTACCACTGTTAACATAATCGAGATACGCTAGAATTCTTAGGGTTATAAGTAGAAAACTTTTATGTGCAATACTCAAATATGAATGTGATTTGTCATTTGACAGAGTTCGACAAGTCTTTCAGAATGATATACAGGGACGGCGCGACCGGGGGGAGATAGCGGGTCACCCCCCTCCTGCTTCGGAAAATTTTGATTGGAGCTTTCTCCGAATTTGAAAATTTTGGTAGTGCCAATTCTCTCCAAATTTGCGGGATCATTAGGCGATTTTCTCCGATTTTGAAGAATCACAGTGCACAATTTCCTTCGATTTTGGAGAACTACAGCAGACAAATTTCTTCAATTTTCGAGAACTACAGTAGACAATTTTCTCCAACTTTGGAGGACTACAGTAGACAATATTCTCCGATTTTGGAGAAATACAATAAACAATTTTCTCTGATTTTGGCGAACTACAGCAGACAATTTTCTTCGGTTTTGGAGAACTCCAGTACACAATTTTCTCCGATTTTGGAGAACTACGGTAGACCATTTTCTTCGATTTTGGAGAACTACCGTAGACGATTTTCTCCAATTTTGGAGAAGTACCGTAGACAGTCTTCTCCGATTTTGGAGAACTACGGTAGACCATTTTCTCCGATTTTCGAGAAATACAATAAACAATTTTCTCCGATCTTGAAGAACTACAGTACACAATTTTCTCCGATTTTGGAGAGTTAAAGTACACAATTTTCTTGGATGTTGGAGAATTACAGTACAGAATTTTCTCCAATTTTGGGGAGCCATAGTAGACAATCTTCTCCGATTTTGGAGAACTACCGTAGTCAATTTTCTCCGATTTTGGAGAACAATAGTAGACAATCGACCCTAAATTTGGCAAAAATCTAAGTTTGAAGAAATCTATTCTACTATTTTTTTTCGGTTCTTGAGATTTTTGAACTACATCAATAATCTAAGTTCGTGTTTAAGTGAGAAATTAGTATTATAACTAGATGCATCTGTCATCAATAGCAATATGTGATGCGTGGATGTTAACGATAACTGGACGAAGAATAAAATTTTGAAAAAAAGAAAAAATCAGATTTTTGCTGGAACCATCGGTATAATATTGTATGAAGTGCGGTCAGAGTAGTCGAAGGAATGTTGGAAAGTCTGCTTCGAAAAGAAAGCGACGGCAACCAAAAACGTTTGGAGACTTCCTCCGAATTTCAACAGTGGGAGCGTTTTTTTTGCTCTTCAGTTTTGACTTTTTGGGATTGGAGGCTCCGATTTTCGGAATACCCCCTCCTGCTCTGACCTCTTCGCGCCGTCCCTGTATTGGAGATATCCGAAACTTTGTAATACCTATTTTCCTAATGTAAAAAACGTGCTTAGTTAATTATTGAAATAAAACAATTAATAAGATGATATAAAATATCAAAAGTTGATATGTTTAAATAAACAAAAAGAAATTCAAGCAAAAAAGATTTATATGTCATTAGAAGAAAAAGATTATTTCTGACTCAAATAAAGAATTTTCTTTCTTTTATAAAATACTTAGTCATATGTTTGTAGTAAGAATATTAAATAAGCTTTCATTCTGAATCACCTTTCATTTATATCACTCAATTAAAATATGAGAAAAAAAATCAATCGAGTTTCATAGAATATCGTCCTATCAATTCTTCGATTGTCAAGTCAACAAGTATTTATTTTAATTCCTTGAAAATAATATTTACCATTTTAATTAGATCAAGTTTCTGATATAGATCACAGAGATTTGAGTACTAATCTTTATTTAAGGGTGACCCTAAATAGAAAGTCCAAACAGTACATATTCATTTGATTGTTCTTGATATATGATTCATGAATTATAATGACATAGGTCTTATTCGTAATACAGGGTTGGAAATAATATTTTGCCCGGGGGGTATCGCTACAATTTTAAGTAGAAGACATAATGAATTTTATATCAAATGAAAGCTCGTCAAAAATGGGGTTTATTGATACTAAATAGTAAGGGTTATGAAATTTTTTAATTTCGGATTTGAGAAACTTGCAGAAATTTAATACTTTTTTTTGCAGTAAAAAAGTAAAGTGCCAGTAATTCAAAACTGGAGTAGCATATTTTTCTGGGATATTTCTACATGGTTTGATAGAGCTCGTCGAGCTCTACAAAATTGTATATATAAAAAAATTTTTAAATAGAGTTGTTGAACGAAAAGCCACTCAAAGCTGTATAAAGAATATACCAAAATACCGCATTTTTTGCACTTTTTATAGGGAGAAAGAGTTGTCTTTTTTATAATAAGTTCAGCGGCTTTTCATTAATATCTTTATGTAAGATGTTTGAAAATATACTTATTCGATGCAGCGTGAAAAACTGCATCGAATGAGTATATTTTGAACCGCCTACGGGAGTAAAAATAATTAGAAAAAGCTAATTTTATTGAAAATTCACCTGTTTTTCTTCCATATCAAAAATATGACTTTTTTTAAAGACTTTCCAAATACCTTTTTGAATTTTTCATCACAAAAAAATGACTCAGGAAACTTTTAATCGATACATTTTTGTAGAGCTCGACGAGCTCTATCGAACCATGTAGAAATATACCAGAAAAATAAGCTACTCCAGTTTTGAATTACTGGCACTTTACTTTTTCACTGCAAAAAAAGTATTAAATTTCTGCAGGCTTCTCAAATTCGGTATTGAAAAATTTCATAACCCTTACTATTTAGTATCAATAAACCCCATTTTTGACGAGCTTTCATTTGATATAAAATTCATTATGTCTTCTACTTAAAATTGTAGCGGTACCCTCCAGGCAAAATATTATTTCTAACCCTGTAGAAAGACGTGACTCATGCTTATTCATATATATTGAGTATAAAAGGGACAGAAGAATAACGAAATATTTATGTTACACATAAAAATTCAGTGAATTGAAACACATTGATCGTACGAAATAAATAGTAAATATGAGTAAGTTTTAACACGTAGAATAGATGATTTATGTGGATTTTTTTCTATAGGTTTTATTACAAATAAATTAGAAGAAAAGATTGATTTGGATTTAAATGGAGATGGTCAAATTGGAGGACCTAGTTTAACAGATGAAATCGAAAAATCTACACATATAGACTTAAATCATGATGGAATTATTGGTGCGCATCGATCATCAGCCGATGGAGATAAATAAAAACACATTTTAGAGTGAAAATTTACAATTTTTTTTTATCAATAAGTATAATTGGTAAAATTGAAAAAGCAACACATATTGATATAAATAAAGATAGTTTCATTGGTGCTTCACCTATGTACTATCTAGGTATGCACCAGCTTCAGTCCTGACTGGATCATCAATGGGTAACTGCCTATTGTAATTTTTATGAGTAAGTTTTTGCCTATTGAAATTTTACTTTTTCAGAATGATTTATTTATTTTTGAATTAGATAGTAACTCTATTTTTTTTCTTCCATCTGAATCACACATGCACCTTTTGCTTGTTCTTTCTGTGAACAATTAAGAAAAGAAGAAGGAAATAATCGCTTCTAATATTTTAACCAGGATTGCCGGATGAAAAACTTGAAAATCAGAAAAAAATCAGAATTTTTTCTTCGAAACCGGAAATTAATCAGAAAGAGTAACTTCATGCAAAGCAAGGACTATCATGTTGATATACTTGCACAAAATACTTCACTTTTTTTTGTTTATCGACTCATACTTTATTTCCAAAAGTATTTCTTAGTAAAGAAAGACAACAAACATTATATAGCTCAAAGTGAAAGATCCTGTACTGTAAACTAAGGAGATTGATCATAGTTAGATCAAATGAATGCTCCCACTGTCAAACCAACTAATTAAAAACATGAGCTGCCAATAGCGTACACAGATCGACATATTCGAATTTCAAGAAATTTACAGTTTGTTATATGTCCATACTATGAAATTTTCTCAATACTTAGTTTTCTTTTCTTGTCATGGTTAGATGGAGCAGGACCGTTTACATAAGAAAAAACAATATCACGCATATTAAAAAGCAAATTCTACGAAGTCTGTCTAGGACAACATTTTTTTTAATTATAAAGGTAATAAACAAAAAATTCTAATTGCTATCAAATTACTTTTGAATATGTATGATATTATTTCTCCTTATGTAAATAGTCGTGTTCCATCCAACTATGGCGAAAAAAGAAAACTAAAGGTTGATGAAATTTCGTAGTGTGAGCACACGACAAACTGTAAATATCTTGAAGTGTAAACATCTCGGTCTGTGTACGCTATTGGCAACTCATGTTTTAAACTAGTTGGTCTGTAAGTGAGAGCATTCATTTAATTCGACTATGACCAATCTCCTTAATTCGCAGTTACATGGCCCTCAATTTTTAGTTAATACAACAAAAAAAGGTAGCAAAAGACACCTAATGTCGAATTCTTTTACGAAGTTCAAAATTCTGTTTACGAAAAATATGCGCAAACAAACCATTATATGTAAACTATGCAGATCAAAAAATCTTGCGAAAAATAATAAAGGTTATAGAACATAATTTCATATTATTTTTCAAGTTTTTCTTTGTTCAAAATTTCTTCAATAAACGTTCAAAAAAAATAATTAACATTCATTCTTAAGTTCAGTAACGCAAAATTTTACTGATATATTAAAGTATTTGTCAGTGGCTGCAGAACTCAGAAACTACAAAATATTAATAAAGAAAAGAAGGTAGCGCAATATAGATCTATAATATTAATAGTTATAGTCGTAATTAATTGATTTCACTAGTAAAGCCACCATCTAAAAACGTTTGAAATCCGACAAAAATCAGAAAATTAGAACAAAACTAAGAAAATGTTCAAATTTCAGAACCTTCTCCAACTTTTCAGAAGATCTGGCAACCCTAACTTTAACCATAAGTTCGGATGAACATGAGTTCGATTTTATTGAAAAAACACTAACCACATAAAGATAGAGAAGAATAGATCAAAGAGACGAGAACATACGTATGTATGTGTAGATATATAAAGTGAACTACAAAAGTTTAAGACACTTTTATTTTTGAAGTTTTTCATCGAAGATGAGTAGCTAGATCAAATCCAAATAGTGATTTGGATAGTCCTTGAAATTCCTTATCGAATAGAATATATGTCAAATTTTCAAAAGAAACTTTGTGAAGAGAGTTTTATCAGAAAGCCATGCTAGGGGTATTTCAAATTCTAGAGGATTTTGCCAGAAAGATTTTTTTCAATATAAGCATCTGAAAGAGCAGAAAATTCTGAAGAAGATGAAGGGTCGCCCAGCTGTGTACGACATTCTATCACAAAGTTATAAGCATTAGAAAAAACGAAAAAATGTGGTTTTAATCGAATTTTAGGACATTTTTTTCTAATGCTTATAACTTTGTGACGGAATATCGTACAGAGCTGGGCGACCCTTCATTTTCTTCAGAGTTTTCTGGTCTTTCAGATGCTTATATTGAAAAATCTTTCTGTCAAAATTTTCTAGAATTTGAAATACCCCCGACACGATTTTTTGGAAAACTCTCTTCACAAAGTTTCTTTTGAAAATTTGACACATATTCTATTCGATAGGAAATTTCAAGAGCTATTCAAATCACTATTTGGATTTGATCTAGCTACTCATCTTCGATAAAAAAAACTTTGAAAAATAAAAGTGTTTTAAACATTTGCGGTCCACTTTATATACATATAGAGTGACGCATAGAAAAATTCAATGACATATGTGTGAAAGCATAGAGGAAAAACTAAGATGTGAAATGACGTAGTTCGTAGGGAAAATGTTCATGTGTGCTGCACAGATGCATATTGGAAGAATCCTCAACATTAACTTATGCATGTTTTTTTTAATGTTTGTTAGACAAAAAATTTTTGCTTATCAATAAAAACCTTGCCCATCGGTCTAAAAATCCTTGATTACACCACTGACTTCATGTGACCATAGCCTTACTACATGAGAAATATTTTATTACATACAGAAAATAGAAAAGCGTAAAATGAAAATATTATTATATTCTTTCCTATAGACTCTTCTACGGACATCTATTGTATTAACGTACGATAGATGGAGAACGATGAACGAAAAGATTCTAAATGGTTGCTATCTTTTATCAAAAACACGTCGATATTTTTCTACCTACTACGTTCATTTTTGAGAATATGGATTATATTTCTAATTTTAAATTTCTATAAACGAAATTCATTTAATTATTTTTTTTTCATATTATTAATTACGAAAAATATCAAGTTGTAATACTGATTTTTTTTTAGAAAAAAAAAAATGTCATTTATTGAAGGTATTGGCGATGATCTTCTCCATGCGTTTTGTTTCATTCTATTTATCGGTATTGTATCATTTGCGTGGCTTTCATCACATGTGAATTATATTCATTTACCTACTACATTATTTATTATAGAACGACGAATACATCGTAGAAATGGTAGTTTAGATTTATTTATCTTTTTGTTTTATCAAAAAAAAAAGAAAAAACATAATTCTAGAAGAACAACAATTAGAAATAAACAATTCAGTTTCATCAACAAATGAACCAATAATATCATCATCATCATCTGTTAATGAAACATTAATAGAACATGAATCAGATATTGAGTATGATTAATAGATAATAATTATAAATATTCTTTTTTTTTGTTTTGTTTGATATCTTACTTTTAGATCAAATGAAAATGATGAATTAATGAACGAACAAATATCAATATCAACAGAATCAAATACTAATCAAATACAACAATATCAATCGAATAATATAATAAATTCTAATGAAATAATTTCTCAGATAACAACTATTGAAGAAGAAGAAGAAGAAGATCAATCATTAAGAATTACTATTAAATTTCTTAATGATACTCAAAAATCAATAATAGCTAATCCAAATGATACAATTTCGAAAATTAAAAGGTAAATAAATTATTTATATGATTAAGAATACATTTTACTTAATCTATAGAAAATGATGAATAAATATCATAAGCATTAATAGGTATTCTTAATCTTTTCATTTCGACAATGAATATGTTTATAGGGAATCAGCAATCTAACATAAATCAAAACATTAATAATGATTCTTAGCTTTATATTTCCATAGAAATTTCTTTTTGTTTTTTTTTTTTATTTAGATTATATTTTGCTGATGAATTAACAAATAATAAAATCGTTCGATTTATTTATCAAGGTCGTGAATTACAAGATAATGAAACTCTTCGTACATGTAATATACGTGATCAAACTATAATACATTGTCAAATAAGTACACGACGACTTTCAACAATTAATCGAGTTAATAATGATATATCAACAACACATAGAAATATGAATACTTTTGATACATTATCATTTATTGATACATCACCAATTTATATTTCACCATATTTTATATTTTTTATAACATTAATTCTTGGATCTGTTTGGTATTTACGTATTAAATATCGTCTATTATTTACACCTATATCAACAATTATTCTTTTATTAATAACAATTATACTTTTAATATTTACATGTGGAATTTTATTAACAACACGTCGACAAATATCAAATATAAGAATTCCAACACATTTACATCATGTTCATTTAGATTGAACATTCCTTTTTGTTTTTCTTATTGTTAATAGAATTTATCTATTTTTTTTTCTCGTTTTGTATGAATTGTAATCTCTAGAACAGTTTGAATAATTATTCTTATGACTTTTATGTTGTCTTCTGCTGAATTCAGTTAATATATTGTATAATGTTTTAATCTCATTATGTTTTCTTTTTGAAGCTAGATATTATTGAGATAAGGGGAGATTTAAAGGCAACCTGTTTAGTATCTTGATCGAGAGAGATAGTATTTTGTTCATTTTGATAAACATGTCTATTCACCGGTTTATGTAGATTTTTAATGTTTAAAAGAGAAAAGGGATATCCAATTAGTGTCTTGATCAATTTCTTTTAAATAATTTTTCTTTATGTTTTAGATTAATCAAGATTTCAATTAAATGATATTGATTAATACAAAGTCAGTTAAATCATCAAATTCAATATTTATTAAAATTCAGATAAGAAAAAACAAAACAAATTTTTTATTTGTTTTTATGTTTTAATAATTACAACAAAAAGATAAATCTTTTTTTCTTCTAAAATTTCTCTCCATGAATCCTAGATTAATTGGTTCTATTGGTTTTTTTGATAGATATGAATTTTTTTTTGAAAAATTTTCATTTTCTTCTAAACGATTCATAACTAAATCTAATAATAATTCAACTGATTCAGCAATATTTATATTTTGTAAAGCACTTGTTTCAATATAATCAACTTGATATTCTTGTGCAAATTCAATTGCACGTAATTTTGTTATAATACGTTCATTTTCTAAATCACATTTATTACCAACAAGTATCATATCAACATTTTCTGAATAAGCATTTGATTGAATTTCACCTATCCAATTACGTACATTAAGAAATGATGTTTCATTTGTTAAATCAAATACTAATAAAAAACCCATAGCATCACGAAAAAATGATGTTGTTAAACAACGATATCGTTCTTGACCAGCTGTATCCCTATTTTTTTTATAAAAGTAAAATAGAAGTCTAGATGAATAATTTTGAAATAGATGAATACTCTTTGATCAAATACTATGACCTTGACTCAATTAGTTGTGAAAACAAAAATATCACTTTTTTGATCGCTGTCATATTTAACTATAGAAACCATTCAAGTGACAAATCGCTTTTGACTCAAGACTATAAGCATTATATAAGTCCAAATAAGCTATGAATATCTTGATAAGAGTTCGAATCTTTAGGTTTATTGATGTCGAGATACTGCACTTTTTGCGATAACTTTTAAATAAATATCTTGATTCTCTTGAGTTTGAGAAGAAGTCGGTTCAGATTTTTCAAAAATCATCTTTGCCCCTTCAGGAACATCCGGTCAGTTTTCTTATAGCATTTATAAAAAAAAACGATTAATTAGTCATAGGACTTCCTACGTAAAATAAATTCTATGGTATTTTTCTTTTTATCAGACTATATCAACGACTTTTTAATTCGAGAGTCAATGACATTCTTATTCATTGATCAATTAGCTTTAGTATGTTTCATAGATTTTCAATTTATAACGATTGAATGTTTTATGATATCCGTATTGTTGACAATAAAACTTTATACAGGTGACATTCGTTTTTTCTGTTTTAGCATTTTGAATAAGTAAAAGAATGTTAGAGAAACTTGATTCTTAATCGAAACTTGAAGAACGAAAGAGAAAAAAAAAAAAAAGCAAGCAAACTTGCACTTTTCGATAATTGGTTTTGTTAAAAAACATTGTCCTCTATAAATGATATTGTTTTTAAAGAAATTATAAATTTTCTTACCATAATTGTAAACTAATATTATAAGATTTATTTGTTTTATTTGATTTATAAAAAATATTTTTATCACGAATATCAATACCAACAGTTGTTCCTAATGTTTTTATAAATTGTTCATCAATATATTGATTCAATAAGCAAGTCTATATTAAGAAAAGAATATTTAATGGAATAAGCAAAAAAAAAAAACAATTTCATTACTTACTTTACCAACACCAGAATCACCAATAGCTAAAAATTTTAAATCAAAATGCTCGTCCAGTGCACGTGGCATATTGACAGTCGTTACCAATGACACTTACAATTACAGTGTCGTATTTTTCGAATAAATAATTGTGTATATATATATATATATATATAAGAATGAAAGAGAACGGTGACATTGACAAACGATAGAATCGCTCATTCTTTCGTTGCTTTTTCTTTTTCATTTCATAGAATCTTTCTTTTCTTCTTTTTTTTTTGTGCTCGTTTGTAGATGATCGACGGTAGTGGTGATAGCGAATATTCATCAGCGAGTGAGACATTAAATGATGATAATTATGTATCAGAAACAACAGAAAAAATTCGACATACATTGTCACTTAATAAAGAAAAAGTAGCACCACTTGCTACGAAGTATGATCTTATTTTTGTTTTTTTTTTGTATTAGAAAAAGAAAGAATTGTTGTTTTTGTTTTTTTGAAAAGGTGGACTTTTTGGCTCGATTCGCAAAAATCAAAATTTACAACAAAAGAAGACTATGAAGCTGGTCTTCAAATAATATTTGCTGTTAGATTTATTTATAATATATATATATATATATTTTTAAAAATTATTAATTTATTTAGGTTGAAACTGTTCAAGAATTTTGGAGTGTTTTTAATAATATACCAGGTAACAAAAATAAAATAATATTTTCTTTCATTTGGTTTTTTTTTTTTTGTTATGTAAATTTTAAGCACCAAGTCGATTATCAAATCGAGTTAGTTATCATTTGATGCGTCAAAATCGAAAACCACTTTGGGAAGATAGAGAAAATGAAAAGTAAGATATAGTTTATATTTAAAATCAGATAACTATAACTAACAGATGATTGAAAAAGATGTTTGTTCATGAATTAAAAATTATGAATTAGAATATCCTTTTCAAATATGACCTTAGGAAATTTTGTTCGAGAATACTAAAATAATCTTTGAAAAGTCCAAAAAATTTTCATATTTTTGCTATTGCGATTTGAAACTAGAAGTAGCTTTCGAAAAGGCGTCTTAATTCAATATCATATTTTGTAGAGAAGTGTCTAGTCTATAAAAAGATTGATTCCGATAATTTTTAGACTTATTGACATAAACAAAAGTCTGTTGAATCACTATTTTCAGGTCTTTCATTACTCTTAAACAAAATTCAAAAAGAACATTCTAATTCATAGTGTTTCACTCGTTGGAAATACTTTCTAACGAGTCAAAAGTGAAAAAAAACATCTTGTCTAAAAACTTTTCGATCATCTGTTATAATTATAAAAATAGAAATAGCCGACTGGCAGTCGGATCTATCCAAAAGTTAATGGTGCTACGAGAGGGTTTAATCCTTTCGCTAGAAAGCTTTGAGCCCTACTACAAACAATTGAAATTCACGTATTAAATGACTTCAGATCTCCCCGTTTGCTTAATTTCTGGAGAACGATTCATCAGAAAAATTTCCTCTAGAAATACTGTGGTCTAGAAGACTGAAATCCTCTTACAACTTTTTTTTTTTTTGATTTCACCACTACAAAAAATAAAGGAACTCGGTTATGATCTGCTCTTTCAAACAAACAAAAAATAACAATTGGTTACAATGAAATTCTTTCGAGAATCAAAAAAAGCATATTTTTCAAGCAAGTGATGATAGAAATCATTATAAAAAAAGAAAATGTCCAATAAAAAGTCTTCTATGAAAGATTAGGTCTTCGCCTATCCTTCCATGCATTTATCTTAATTCTGATAATAATAATGAAAATTGACCTTTTTTTTAAGACAGCGGGCGGAAGCTTAAGAAATTATATAAATCACTCCAACGGTTTCGAGAAGTCTTCCATATGTAAGGATATCAAAAGGTTTTTATTTCATACTTTCAAAAATATTTCTAATTGACAAACAATATCAGTCTTGAATATATACTGGCGCTCAAAATTGTTCGTACACCTTACAAATGACCTTGTTTCTTTAATATCTCAAGATGAGTTCAAGATATAAAGATGCGATTTTCGCTAAAATGTAGCTCGGTTGTGATAGATTTTTTACTGAAAGTTTCAGCTCTCTGAATTCTATATTTATTGTGTTAGACTAAAAATAGTAAAAATGAGATCCTTCGTATATCTAACGAATGGAGTAAAACACATTGATCTCTCAGTATTTTCTCTGTAACTTTTTTCTCTTCAACAAAAAGAACATAATTGTTTTAATAGAAAGATTCGCTGTGAAATTCTCTACAAACTGGTCTATTTCACTTTGATTAACTACCTCTCATCATACTTTACAATGAAATGAATTTGCTAAGAAACGACAGATAAGAAGAAATTAGAAAAAAAGTTAAAAATAGTTGTTTTTTTGAAAGTAGTGATCATCTTGTCAAGCAAATTCATTTCATTTTAAAGTATGATGAAAGGTATTTAATCAAAATAAAATAGATCAGTTTGTAGAGAATTTCACGGCGAATCTTTCTGTTAAAATAATTATGTTCTTTTTGTTGAAGAGAATATACTGAGAGGTCAATGTGTTTTACCCCATTCGTTAGGCGTACGAACAATTTTGAGCCAAATCAAAGGACTTCATTTTTAGTCTAGTACAACAAATATAGGACTCAGAGAGCTGAAACTTTTAGCAAAAACATCTATGACAACCGAGCTACATTTTAGCGAAAATCGCATCTCTATATCTTGAACTCATCTTAAGATATTAAAGAAACAAAGTCATTTATCAGGTGTACGAAGAGCGTCACTGTGTCTTCAAATTAGTTTTACTTATAAAATCTTAAACATTTGATGTTATCTTCTTTTGTTTTTTTTTTCACTAAAAGAATCAAGTTGATTTTATATCACATGAAAAATAATCAAACAAAAAGATTTTATTTATTTGAGAAGAAATTCTAACTATAGTTGTTTTTTATTTTTTATAGTGGTGGTATTTATACATATCGTTGTCCGAAAGATAAAACAAATACTGTCTGGCAAGAATTATGTTTAGCTGCAATAGGTGAACAATTTTCG